CCCGCTGGCCTGGCCACCCCCTAACTGCTTCCCTGCTGGCCTGATCACCCCTAACTGCCTCTGCCTTGGCCTCCGCCACCGTGGCTTGTCCGGAAGGAAGTCGGACGTCCAGAAGATGTCCAGTTGACCCGGTCTAATTAGCATATTACCCTTTTATTAGTATAGATGTTATTTTATTCTTCTGTAAAACATACTGGAAAAGGAGAACAAGACATCGATGAGAGGGAAACATCGATCAGCTGCCTCCTGCATATCTCCCACTGGGGATGTGCCCGCAACCCAGGTACATGCCCTTGACCGGAATCGAACCTGGGACCCTTGAGTCCGCAGGCCGACGCTCTATCCGCTGAGCCAAACCGGGGCTAGGCAGAACAAGAACTTTAAAGAAATAATTATTGTCGCTTCCTCCTGGATTAAGTCAATTTTCAGTACGCTATCAGGAAAGAATTTTTTCCTCAGCGTATCTATGCTTAAACTTTTGGGGTCCACATACTTCTTCCTCTAAATATTTTAGGTTAATTTTCTGTATTCCTAAACGTAATTATGTATAAATTTTTAAATAGATTTTTAATTGGTGCCATGTAGGTGAATACATATTATATACTTAGGTGAATATATAATTATACTTTTTGTTTTACATATTTACCTGTAGAACCCTGTACTTAAATACTTCAGTACTTAAATTTTGCCCATTGATTTACAATAGTACTTAACTTGATAACTTATTTTTATTACATATTTAACTCCTTTCATCAAGACTTTTTAAAAAAAATATATTTTATTGATTTTTTACAGAGAGGAAGGGAGAGGGATAGAGAGTTAGAAACATTGATGAGAGAGAAACATTGATCAGTTGCCTCCTGCACACCCCCTACTGGGGATGTGCCCGCAACCAAGGTACATGCTCTTGACTGGAATCGAACCTGAGACCCTTCAGTCCGCAGGCCGACGCTCTATCCACTGAGCCAAACCAGTTAGGGCTTTCATCAAGACTTTTATAATTTTATTGCAGAGATGAAACTGATATTTTAAAGAAAATTAAGGAATTAAGCAGCTAATCCAATAATCTAATGACTATTGCATGTTATCAAAATGGTACATCTTCTTTTATTATATTTTTCGCATTTACCTTTTTATCATTAACCTTAATATAAAAATTTGAATTTACTAGTAGAATTACATTTGCCTAAAATTGGTATACCCATATCGATTAAAGATGTTTTATATTATAAAATAAAAAGAACTTGCTGCTTTTAAAATTCATAAAAGATAATTATCTTACTGAGATACACGGCTATTTCTAAAAGTACAAAAAACAAGAAATAAAAAGCATTCTGTCATGAAAACTGGGTAGCTGGGTGAAAAAAAAAGTTGTTCTCTGTTAGATAGATACCTTGAACAGTGACAAGTGAATTGATTGTAATAGCCAATAGTAAAATCCCTCCATATTAGTACCATATTTAATATTCCATCTAGATATTTTTATTGATTAAAAATTAATCAAGAAGGTCATAAATGAAAGGAAAAATGTGTAAAGAAAACAGTATTCTGTCCCTTGGGTCCCCCCACACTACCAGCCTTGGATCTTTTAATCTATCACCTTATGAATAGTAAGTTTCAATTTTTAAAAGGTATTAATTTGCTGCAGTGCAAATATGTTTGTATATAGCAAATTAACTTTTACATTTTAAGAATGCGATAAAATTTTAAGCAAATATCAAACTCATTATTATGCATGGTTCTTTTTTACTTATCTATAAATGAAAATTTGTACTGTCTTAAATAATAGTTGAAGAACTTATACTTGTGAAATTATTTTCCTTTGGCAAAGCAGATGGAAAAGATTTGGGGGAAAAAAACACAAGTGCTGGCACAATTGACAGGAATGTTGGAAAAAATTTTTAAATGTTGGCATAGGAATTCTTTAAAAATTCTAACTTACATGTGAAATGAAAGTACAAAAGCATCTGTCCTATTTTATGCACACTGACTAAATAAAATGAACAATTATATTTAGCAAAGTATAAAGCTCTTTAAACTAAGGTATTCTGTCTGGTTTTTGGCAATCTTTATGTTATTTGTTCCACTGAATTAAAATATTATGTTTGAGTGCAAGCACACTTTGAAAAGCAGAAGTTATATAGAGAGGAGAACATTCCCTTTCCTAACTCTGATGACCCTAAATGAAATATGAAATTTTTGAGAGACTAAACACTTGTAATATACTTGAGAGGAGAACTTTGGATCTTAGCCTCATTGGTCATTCAGCCCATTTATTATTGAAATATTTCAAGAACCTTTGGACATGTCATCTATTGTTCTGCCCAAGATGGAAATATATAGATTAAGTCTTTAAGGATTACAACCACAATTTTTTTTTTATTTTCCACATTTTATGTTTTTAATTCTACTACCAGATGTGGTTATATTTTCACTGAAATCAAACAAGAAACTTACAGCAACATGAAATTCTGTTTTGATTCCTTCAGAAATTAGTTTAAATCTGTTTTAAGGCCAACATGACATTTTCAGATTGTTGTCTGAGATACTTTTATTATGTCTTGGTGCTGGAAAAAAGATTGGAACTCTTATTCAGGTTTCAGTAAAGTTATTTTGCCATGTGATTATTTTTTGGTAGGAAGTATTGTTTTTCATGCATCAAGTTATTAAAACAAAGAGCTCAATACCTGGTTTCATAATTGTGATTGAAATGGTCCACAGTGTACCTAATTTTCTTTGATCCTTTATGTTGAACAGTTCAGGCCGTGGCAATTGCCTTAATAATGAGCCTCCCAAGCGTGAATTTGTTTACCCAACTGTGGCCCCAGGTCAGGTGTACGATGCTGATGAGCAATGTCGTTACCAGTATGGACCAGGATCCCGCCAATGTAAATTTGGGGTAAGAAGTCTCAATCCTTACGTTTAGTCGTTTCTATGTGATCTTTCATGACACAAATGTTAGGATGGAGTTTTGATGAATATAGTTTACCTCTGGTAACATTGTTAATGCAAATATTTCCTTTGATACTGCTCTTTTTCTGAACTTGGTATAATATCTATTTCTAAATGTTTGCATAATCCTAAATTAAACAATTTTCAAACGTCTTGAGAGATGCTGGTAGAATTTTTATAATTTCTATTGTATTTCTTCTTTAAGTCCTGAGTTTTGATGTCAACTGAGGTTTATCTTAAGAAATGGTATGGCTTTGAAACCTCTCCCTCACCCTCACCTTTTCTGGTACTCTAATAATTGTGTGAAGGGCATTTTTATATTGGCTAGGAGGAGCCTTTACTTTATATTTTCTAGTACTGAGTCATTTCCAGTTGCTTCAGTCCACTGCCCACATTCTGACACAACAACCATGTGGGGGCAAGATGACGCTAACCCAAACAGAGAAACAAGGAAAATTGTTGCGGGAAAAAAGATATTATGGTTGACTCTCCATGACTGCCTAAAGAAGTCTGTGTCTAGCTCAGAAAAATGCATACAAAATTCTTCTTGAGTTTCACAGAGAAAGATTTCGGTGTCTAGGATAGGGACATGTTTATAGTCGGTACACATTATAAGCATCTTTTTAAAAATGTATTTTTATTGAGTTCAGAGAGGAAGGGAGAGGGAGAGAGAGCTAGAAACATCAATGATGAGAGAGAATCATTGATTGGCTGCCTCCTGCACCCTCTCCACCAAGGATCAAGCCCACAACTCAGGCATGTGCCCTGACCACGGAATCAAACCCTGATCTCCCGGTGCATAGGTCAACGCTCAACCACCGAGCCATGCCGGCTGGGCAAGCATTTTGAAAGAAAAAATAGAAATTTAAATAAGTTATTCAAAAATATTCAGGAGTGAGAAATGTTTAAAGACTTGATTCCTATTTTTATGCAAATAGTGTTTAAAATGCCTTTTAAAAAACAATAATAAAAAGAATTACGTTTTCACATAGTTAAGATGAAACAATATATGCACTGTACTGTACCAATTATCCTCTAGGTACAGTACAAAGGAAAGTGATTTTTAAAGTCTGTCTTGGGTGAAAAGCCTATTATGATTCATGGACAGCTTTGACAGCAGATTTTGTGCACTAGATTTAAAGATTGTGTGCAACAGTCTTGAGTAAAACATTGTCCTTTCTTGTCTCTCTCTGCTGTAGAGTTTTCTATTCTTATTTCTTTGTGGTTTTAGTTTCTTTTTTTCTTGAGTTGCTTTTTACCTCAGAAAACATCAGCCAAACTTTAATCCCAGTCTTTGTATATACTTGTAGCTTAGTAGGTTGAAATTCATTATTCTTATTTATGGTCTCTCTTTTCTGTGTTAGCAAGTGAAATAGTTAATTTATATTTAGTTTTTCAATTGGAAATTGGGTTTTAACTCTACATATATATTCCTATATTAGATAATTTGTATTACCAGTTCTACAGGAAATATGGATGTACTTTTTCTTCAATGAATTAAAAAAAATTGTCCTGATTAGCCTATTTCTATATATGTATATCTCATTTATTTCAGATTAATTGATATGAAGTGAGATAAATAGTAATTGAGAAATTGTATATTTTCAGTTATGTTTCTTATATTCAGCTTTAGAGTCTTCTTCTCTATGCATTTATAGATAATAGATAGCAAATAAAATTGGAAAATGAAAATATATTAACATTTACAATCTTAAACAAGTATTTGGAGATTGTAATGGCTATAAATTCAAAGAACAAAACTGTATAGCACAATATGCAGAGTTGTATAATATAGTAATCTATAAATGATATATAGTTTATGAATGATATTTATATAGTCTTTTTTATGAGGTACTTCAGACTGCTTTGATTAAAATTGTAATTATTTTATAAAGTTTTATAGATAAGGTAACTAAAAATGCAGAATATGATTTACCTACTCCAAGGTAAAAAATAAAAATGGATTATATAGTAAATATGTTATCAAGATAGCAGGTGTATTTTATTTCAGGGGACAATTTTTATCAATTTTCATACACACAAAATAATAAATAAGGGTGGGAGAAACTTTTGGAGGTGACAGATCTTTATGGCCTAGTTTGTGATGATGGTTTCATGGGTGTATTGTATACTTTCTCTCCCAATTTACCAAATTACATCCATTAAATATGTACAGTTTTTTGTATGTCAATCATATCTCAATGAAGTAGTTTTAAAAAGAGAGAAAAGTGCTCACACAATTAGATTTAAGACCCAGGACAAAACCAGAGAAATTTTATAGACAACATAGCTTTGTTTGATTTATGGGGAATTATTATTATCTATGACGTTTGTTACTGTTTACATAAATTTAAGAGTTAGCACATAAATGCAAATAGTGGGTTGTTGTTACTTACTTTAATGTAGAACTGAACCATGTTTTATTAATATACTATGTATTCTGAAGCATAAATGGGAACATTTGATCTAATACATGGTTTCACAATGGAACAGGATAATTTTTGAAGGAATATTTTTCAATAGCAAGACTGCTTACCATTAGCTAATTGACCATCAGATTTTATTTAGAGACCTTTTCCAGTGAATGGCAGCCAAGTTGTTGCAAACTTCAGACAGCAAAAGGGTATGACAAGCATGCAAAGTGCTTTTTATTTACCTGGCACCTGACAGACATTCAATCATGTTTGCTTTCCTCTATGAATATCTGTTATCCATGGTACCATCTCTGTATAGCTGCTTGCTGGTAGTGTTTTAGGAGAATCTGAACCATCTGTACGTTTGGGAGCATACGAAGATATTTTAAGGGTCACACTGATTCATCCTTTAATCTCAATGAAATACTTAGAAGTACATATAAGGGAAGTTTTTTTTTTTAATTTTTTTTTATATTTTATTGATTTTTTACAGAGAAGAAGGGAGAGAGATAGAGAGTTAGAAACATCGATGAGAGAGAAACATCGATCAGCTGCCTCCTGCCCATCTCCTAACTGGGGATGTGCCCGCAACCCAGGTACATGCCCTTGACCGGAATCGAACCGGGGACCTTTCAGTCCGCAGGCCGATGCTCTATCCACTGAGCCAAACCGGTTTCGGCCATATAAGGGAAGTTTAAAGAAATTAAATTTGAGTATCCTGTAAAAAAGAAAGCTAAATGTTGGCCTCAAAACCATCTTCAGACTTCAGAACATTTATTATAGTTTGGTTGCTGGTTAACAAATTGTTCTCCTCTACCAAGAGCATTAAAAAACACAGTGGCCTTAACTATTACAGCTGGAAGGTTGTAGATTAGATAGTAGGAACAATTTCAAGTGATTAAAATTGGAATTTTGCACTGAGGGAGATTGTAAAATCACTTTGCTTGAAGATTGTAAGACGGTTAACTATTCTACAGTGTGATCTGGTATGGATTTAGGGAATAAAAGACATGGACTTATTTTAGCACCTCAATATTCTTTTGGAGTCCAAATATGTATATTTATCAAACATATACTTGACAAGAAGTTGATTTAATTTATATTTTCCCTTAAAATTCAAGCCAAAAATCATAGGTTCATAATCACTTGTATACTTAAAGCTCAGTAGTTTTCACTCTGGGTTTGCTTCTTAGAGGTATTTTTTTAACCATTTAATCATTTTTAACCCCTTCAAATTGATGATTAGTTATTTATCCAAATTAGTTTTTAGTTTTTCTTACACACACACACACACACACACACACACACACACACACACACACACACACACACTGCTCTTCTAAACTCTCTTGCACTTAAATTACCCACATAACAGGATTAACCTATTTAAAGCTGAAATAAGGGTACATTATTCTCTTTCTTCAGATGGCTACTAAACACCTGGAGCCAGGCCATGGGGTCACCATATGTTGGTTTTCAATTTTCTTTTGTGTGATACAATGATAAGTAACCTTTCTAATCATTGATGCTCCTTCTTGACCTCTTCAGGGCTCTGCTCTCCCCCTTGGCCATCAAGACCCTTTATTGCAAACAGCTGCTGAGAGATGTTACTGATAGGGTAATGAGGACAAAGAGAATGTTTCATATCCACAGCCAAGGACCCAAAATGGCATAGGGTTTAGGATTTCCAAGGGCAGAAAATTTGTATCACTTTTATGATCTGTACAGTTGTTTAAAACGTAAAAATAAAAAAAATCTAGCAATAAAGATGCCATTTTCTCTTCAGATTCTATTTTATTTCCTTAATGATATAATAAATATAAAATGTTTTTGCACTTTTATGATATTTCTCTCCTCCTTATGTGAATGGCTTATTTTAGTTTTCTCAAGTAAATAAAAGGGCCCCCCCTCATATTTTAGTATTATTTACAGCTATAATTACGTGAAAAGGATGGAAATTTTAGAGAATGAAATTCTAATTTCTTTTGTTTTGAAAGGGTCTTTGACTAGTTCAATTATTCTATTTTGATCAAAGCAGCTCTAGTTCAGTTTTTTACAGAGTTATTTTCTGAATATCAGGTAATTCTGATATATTTAAGAGAGTAGCTGAGTTGTTTTGGGATATTTTGGACATTGATATTAGCCAGGCCTGATTCCGATCTAGATTTAATTAGGATTGAAGCAAGTTGCTAAATCTTTCTGAAACTATAAAGTTTCTCACACTTTCTAAACAGATTTTCGTGATGATTAAATGAGATACAAATATAAATATGCCTACAACAGTAGCTGACAGTATGCCCTGATAAAGTGTTAGTTACTTTCATTTATTTTCCTGCCTGAAACATTGCTGCTATGGGGCATGAAGTGTATCCTGGAGCTCCTCCAGTGAGGGGAGATTTGGTTTTATTTCATCATTGTTCAGCTCTGACTTTTAGAAGATATTTTTATACATTGACCTGAAATCCGCTCCCTCTTAGCTTTTATTTATATTTTCTTTTTTCCAGTTTGATTGAGAAATAACAGACATATATCACTGTGTAAGTTTAAGGTGTATAGCATAATGGTTTGATTTACATATATTGTGAAATGACTACTACAGTGGGTTTAGTTAACATCTGTCATTTTATATAGATACAATAAAAAGAAGTTATACTCTGAATCTAAGTCTTAATTTTTATGAAAGTGGTCTCTGTTAGAGGCAGATACCCTCGAAGACCTCTCTCTCTAAGAAGGAAGCATCACAAGCCATAGGGTTAAGGCTACAAAGGAGCCAACTGCTAGGGATGCTGGGAACAAATGCAGCAGAGATTTAAGTGTCCACATGTTTAATTAGACTGTAGATGTTTTTGTTTGTTTAGTGGCTACTAAGTTATATAGGTTATAAGTGGTCTCCTCTAACTCCTTTTCCCCCCATAAACCCTCTTTTGTTCATAAATGATTTTGCAGAATGCTAGGTTTCTCACAGAATGCATTTATCACCTTTCAGCAGAAAGCAATAAAAATACATTAATCTGGAATGCCTGGTGAGAGGGGTTGGAGGAACATGCTCGGAAGGACCCAAAGCGATTCCTTCAGTTTGCTTTACCCTATGGGGCATTCCCATTTTCTAGAAACTTTTGAGTTAATTCACTGTTACCGCTTTATTTCTGAATTGTGTTAACATGACATAAGTTCTTTTCAAATTTTTTTTAAATCGAGATAAAATTGACATATACTATGTTAGTTTAAGGTATACAATATAATGATTCAATATTTGGATGTACTGTGATCATCACAATGTCTAGTTCACATCTATCATCATACATGGTTATAAAATTTTTTTTTCTTGTGATATGTGATATAAGTTCTTAGAATTAAGTTTTGAGAGTTTAAAGAGTAGTTGGGGAATAATAACAATAGAAATAAATGTTATATATAAGTTTATCTTTGCATTCCAGATTAATATTTTTTATTGAAAAAAGATATTTTATACTCAGTGGTTCTAGTTTAAATTAAAAACTTGCAGTATTATTAATGATGCTAGTTGATGATCATATATAAAGAGAAACTGAAACTTTTCAGTTTCTTCAAAGTAAACTTTTTTGGCTTTTATTTAAAACACTTTATTCGAATAGATGTTGAACAGCTTATTTTAAAATCTGATAGTGTGTGAACCAAATGAGGTATTTTATATTGCTGATATTAGAATAAGTGTTGTAATTTTCCCATAATGATGTAGGACAATGAAAAAACCATAATAAAGAAGGCAGCTCCAAACAACATCTGAAATATTTCAATTATAGAAATGCCTGTTATACAAGTAGCAGCACTTGTTCAAAACCAAATTTCCCTTTCACGAAGGTGGTGGACTACATTGATGAACTGCAAACAATATTGCTAGATTATTCTTTAGGCAACTTTGAATTTTAGAAATTACTCCCTGCCCGTTCCTGTGGTCTCTATTTCCTTCTTAAAATGATCTTTATTTGAATATTGCAGTAGATCTAAGAAGTCAAATACCTAGCACCACTCTATTAGTAATTGGTAAGTTTGTTCTATTGTCTATACTTGAGAGTATTAAGCATATATTCCCTTTCTACATATTCATTCTTTCCCCCTACTCTTCCCTATTAATGACATTTCTGCACATTATTTTTTAAAAGATCTTAATCAATGTTAAAATCTAAGATATACTTCATCCACTAAAATGAGTCTTAAAGACAAACATTTACATGATTCTGCACAGTGGATAACCCACCTTCCGTAAGAGCCTCCTCCAAAATCCTCACTTTGATGTGTCAACACCAGCAAGAAACAAACAATGCTGCATGTCTGCCGGTGTATTTTATGGAAGAGTGGACGTGATTGTAGTCTTTACTTCTGATCAATTTGCTTTTGCCTTCTTTCCTAGGAAGTGTGTAGAGAGCTCTGGTGTCTCAGCCAAAGCAACCGCTGTGTCACCAACAGTATTCCTGCAGCGGAGGGAACATTTTGTCAGACTGCGACTATTGAAAAGGGGGTAAGCTCAAATGATTTATTAGCTATTTGATAAATGTTTGGTGTTGCTATTCCGCTACTATTGTTAGGAAATCATGCATATTAATTAAAATGTACTTGAGAAAATAATACACTTCTAGTCTAATGGGTTGTCAAAACATTATATCAATAATATTCATTGTTTAGAAAATTACAGTGAATAATATTTTCTGGGCCAGTTTCACCTTTCTGTAAGTATATGTGGGTGTTATATTTATATAGAAAATGTCTAATAACAATTCTACATAATAGAGCCTGCTTAGTCATATGTCTGTGTGTTTTTTTTCTGGAAAATTATGTGATCCCAAAATATTTTATAACTATAGTTTAACCGGAGTCACTTTTAAATTGCAATATGAGAGAAAGGGCTCATAGTAGAAGAATACTTAATTCATTGAGCATAGAAATTGGAACGAAGTAATTTTGGTTTCATCAGTATAGTTTTCAAAAATATTATTAGAAATTATTGAAACAGATAGGAATCATTTATATGCTATTCCTGAAGTTCTTTAGGAATTCCTACTCATGCAAATTCTAGAGTTTATGGCTATGGACTGAGTTCACAATAATAACTACTAGTGTCATCTGTTCTCAGTTCTGACTTCTTCCATGTTAGTTGGGCTAGTTTCAACAAAGATTACACTGGATTTCAGCGTGCAATCTGATGTTTAAATAAAAAGAATGAAAGCTTTTGGGCAGCTGTCACAGTTTATTAATCCTTGCTGACGGCTTCATTCAGGACCCATGACCTAGTGCCATGTTGATGGCTTTTCCATGCTGCGTTTGGAAATGTTGGTAAATTATGCTAAATGTATGAATTGATTGGGTCATTTTTAAAGGATTAAGGATCTTTTTTTGAGACTATGTAAGTAGCCAATAAAAATACAAAGACCTTCACACACTACCAAAAATTCCTTCTTTTTTTTTTTTCACTGTAGTAATAGAAAATATTAGGAAGCACATTCTTGAAACAACAGTCTAGGTTTATTTTGGAACCAACAATTCTTGTCAATGACAAGTAGCAATTTAAATCAATCTGTACTTAGAAGAAATATACAACTGTAAGGGGGGAAGTCACAGTGAGAATCTGTTTCTTTATTTGCCATTGATTATTATTCTTATAATCCAGTTCATGGGCCATAGTTTCTATTTGCTTGGAATAATACTATCACTAGGCCTGATGGCTCTTTTTATTCAACTTTATTTCTTAACATACAACATAAAAAATTCATTCATTTAAATACTTCAGAGCTCTCCTAAAGCATTCTATAAATTATATAATCACTCCAAATGAGTAAATCACAAGTAGTGGCTATTTGAGAACACATAGTTCAACCCTGCCAATCATTTACACAGTAAACACATGTTTAATATCTTATCATCTGTGCTTAATTGCAGGATCCTCAAATGTCATACCTTACAACTGTGTATATATGTGATAGACGTGACATATTTCTTGAAAATTGCAGATAATTTTGAGGAATATTTAGATGACACTCAATAATATTAAAGCTAATGTATTGAATTTAAATTTAGATAAACAAATAGAAGGGAATTATAATTCTTCTAAGTATAAATAAGAATGAGCACAGATAAAAAGTGAGTAAAATGGGAAAAATATATTTGATTTCTAAAGATTCACATTTTTAGTTTAGGTTGGTTGTCAGCTTTTTGATCCCTAGCTCCTTTTTTCAAATGAAGTCTACGTAATTCTGATATGTACATTTTAAAAATGTCAATGATCTGGTTAAAAGAATCCCTTACCTGACTCCTTACCCTGTCAGCTTCTGATGTACTTCAACAGAACATATTGGACTTCATGAAAAACTATTTGAGAACCTTGTAAGTGTAGCAAAGCTTGTGTACCAAGAGGTCGTTTATATTCCCAACATTAGAGTTTAGTTTGATAAAGTCAGTATGTTGGATTTTACCATCTAAAATTATTCTGCCAAACAAAAATCTCAACTGTTGTTCCAAGGATATGAAAGGTCAATAGACAGCTTTAGGAATGGTGCTAATTCTTAAAATGAATGAATGAAAACAAACACATGTAGACTCCTAGAAAGAAAAAGAACAGCACTCTAGGAGAAGACCTTGAATATCTTCCTATCATTAACTTTGAATTTTTGAAGAGGTTTTTAAAGAACTAGATTCACCTACATTTTTAAGGAGAAAAAAACCCACAAAGGACTACACATTTGAGCTGAGCAGCTCTTTATTTTTTAGTAACTGCATTTGTCATATCTTTTTACAAATTTTGTTGTTGGCAATTTAAGTTATTTTTCTCCTTAAAATAAAAGTGTTTATTGTTGCCAAATTGCAGATTTTCCTTCTAGGGTTATATCTATCTGGAAATTAAACCAGAGCTCAGCATTTTGATTCAAATCAAAGCAACCATGCAAAAAAAGAGCTAGGGACAAAAATCAAAGTGGAATTTTCAGTTGGTCAGGTCAACTTTGTGTGGCCAGTCTGTGTTCTTGCCATCTAAAAATAGTTGGCATTGATAGCAGGCTGGAAGAGGTCAGTGGGAGAAAAAAGAACCCATGTTATACTTTCAACAATAAAGATTTTTTTAAATTAAAAAAATAGTTGGCATTACCAATAATGATGATGGTGATACTGAATATTTTTAAAATACTTACACTGTGCCAGGCACATATTTGTTCTGTTTAATAGTGACAAAATCCTATGAGGCAGAAACTGATTTATCTCCATTTAATATAGATGAGGAAACTTAAACTTGAAAGCCTAAGATTACACAGCAATTCAATAGCAGGGCTGAGATTCCAACCCAGGTCTTTCTAATTCCAAAGTTGAAAACTGTGCCCCTCTATATTGCCTCTGATTTTACTTTACCTTTAGATAGGAAATTTTGTAAAGAAAAAAGCAAATTTTCATTGTCATGGCAATAAAGTGAGTCACTGAGCTTGAGATTGGTAGTCACAATGTATTATTATCCTTTAATTCTAAGTGGGATTTTCACTTACCTGTAACAGTGTCATATCTCAGGAATCACAATAGGAAGGCACTGTAGGCAGAACATTAGCTAAGAATATATGATTGTGTTACAACTGGCAAAATAATTAATCTCCATTTTAAAATGAGAGGTAACCTATTTCTACCTATTTCATAGAAATGTTGTGAGGATGAAATGAGATAATATCTCAGTGAACTTTATATGGTTTTCTGGAGAAGGAAGGTATTAGTATATATTACGAGAGCATCATCGTCACTTTTGATTATTATTTGCCAACCTTGGATGATTGTGGTGCAGAGAATTCTTTGTCAGATTATCTTAACTGGCAGTAGCCAGCATCAGAGAGTATAAGCATAAATTTGTGTGCCTTAGAAACATGAATGAAATATACACGACTTCTGGTTTTAACTCTAAATTTCAATACTACTCTCATCAGAAGAAACAAGAAAGAACCTACCTCCTGTCTAGCCAGCAGGATAAAACCAAAGCCGCTCATAGTTTTTTGAATAATTTGTTTTAAATGGTGGGGGGAGAAGGATTGCTTAAATGATAGCATAGACATATCCAGAGGACTGGATCCACAATGATCTTGTCAAACTCTGGCTGCAAAAGATATGGGATCCCTGCCCGAGGCGCAGTTCCACAAATGTTCCATGTAAGTATGGGAACTGTTCCATGCACATTTAGCAGATGGAGTAAGAAATATGGCCAAAAAATTAAAAACTGATCTTTGCGTGAGTCCTGGGGGGTCTGACATCGCTATTACAGCCATTGGATGTTTGCCTGAATAAGCCATTCAAGGATTGAATAAGAACCATATGGTCTGAATGGATGTGCTTAGGGACAGTAGCATTAACCAAAGGAGGAAATTTGATGAGCCCAGACAGTGCGCTAGTTGGTACTGTGTGTCCATGGGTCAAACTTTTACAAATAAATCAATATAACTTTAACCCAAAAAACTTTCTTTAGACATGGCATCAGCAATAGCACTTTGGACAGGCATCGGAGGGATGCCATATTTGATGAAATAGTAAACAAAGATTTAGACTGTAAAAACTTTGATAGCAGTATGGGCATTGTTATGGAACAAGATATTAATGATAATGAAAACCCAATCCTTGCAAACTCTGATTGTGACCACAAAGAAGGTTTAGAATACTTGGTTTATTTCCAAAAGATTGATTTGATGATTCTACAAGATTGAGTTAGAGATATAGCTCAGCATTTAGACTTACATATATATGACATCGGTTCCTAATATCTTTGTATGGGAAACATAGGGCTGGCTTAGACTAGGATTATTATAGACCCTTCTAAAGCACTGGCTATATAATAGGACATTTGCAGCCTTAGATCTTTAGAGTAGAATATAACATGTTTCAACTGGGTTTCAAACTGGCTCTTGAATTGCTTTAGAAATTTCAATAGCATGGGATGACAAGTTCTGATTTAGAATTTGGGCTGGAATAAGCTTCAGCATTCCTGCACCTGCAGAGTGAAAAGATAAGGCTTTTAATAGTGCTGTGCTCCAACTTTTAGCTTTTCTGACTTGGGAAGAACATTCTATATTGAATCACCAATATCCCTTGCTTTAAAATCTTAGGATTTCCTTAGAGGTCTCTCATTCCAGATGCTGGCTTGACCCAGTGCTGGCTATGGTACAAGATCTATAATCACATCCTAGAATGACTCTAGTTAAAAAATATGTATGTTTTCAACATTTAAAAATAAAAAAAAATATTTTAAAAGTATACTCATCTTGAAAAATTTTTGTGGAATTCTAAAAAATTCTCAAAGTTAGATTTTTAAATTTATAATGTATCTTGCTTGAAGACAATTTCCTGATGTGGATTATGAAATTCAGCAAGAGATGTTGTTTAATAATTGTTTCTTAGGAAAATTTTTAAAGCTTCACTGGAGTATATTGTCTTTCTAGATAATTTTTAAATATATTTGTTTTACTTTGAAGGAATGTGAAAAGCAAGAATTCTTGAACAATCTGAGAA